TGTGCGTGTGGGTGTGCGTGTGTGTGTCTGTATCCACCATAACTCATGAACCGATACACAGAAAAACACCAAATTTTAAACTTAAGCTCTATTCCAGCGTCCAATGAATTGATTAGATTTTGGGCAGAGTCGGAACATCTGGGGGGTACTTTATAGGTGGTCATTTTTATATTTTATGAAATATACCTGTTATTTACGTTTGGAGAAGAAAATCCTTCAAATAAAAGTTACTTCTAATATTATTATCTATAATTTTTGTTGTATACAAAATTTTCCTAAAATGGTCCGTATTCGAGAAATTTGACAAAATGTAAAAAAAAATATTTTTTATAAAAATTGTTCAAATAAAAGTTGTTTGTCATGTAATTCTCTATAATTTTTATCCCATACTTAATTTTTCTAAAATAGACCGTATTCGAGATATTTGAGAAAATGTGTAAATTTTGAAGCAAACTCAAAAACGGATAAAGAAAAAAACATTAAATTTTAAACTTAAATTTTATTTCGGCCTGACGTGAAAAGAAAAAGAAAACAAAGTCTGCATAGACTTTCTTCTTAAATAACTGACTTCATATTCCATAGTTTGAATTCCTAAAACTTCAGCCATATAGTAGACTACGTCTTTGTTTCCCTAAAATTCAACCAATACAAAATCCCCTATGACAGGATCTGTAGTCAGCGGACCAAATTTTTCTTTTACTAATATCCCTTCGTCCGAAAAGTCATCACTTAAGTCGTCACTTTCCAGGATTACTGAATGGTCAGATTCCGATGAAGAACTTTGCTGAAGCACCTTTCTGACTCTTTATTCCTCCCTTGGCTTTGTCTTTTTTTATTTCTACTCTTCTTTGTTTCTCCATTTTAGTCTTTGCAATTTCTTCTTTTTCCGGGGTATCGGTTGCAATTAGACTTCTTCCTTTTTTTCTGGTCTTTCTGATAGTTTTTCTGGGTTAAGCTTTCAGAGGTGGTCTAAAGTTGGAAGGTGATACGAATGTTTCTGTAGTCTGCTCTTCTGGACTTCCCAGTAAAAGATTAGCAGATGTATTTTCGCGCATAGCTTCATTTTCTTCTACCAAAATATTCGAAGGATCAGCTTTATTGATGCTATTGTCAAAAGATCTGTCTGTAATTGAACTTGGTACAAAATCAATCTCTGTAAAAATAGTTTTATCAAACGGAAAAATTCCTAACTTTTTAAAGGCATTCGTGATAGATTGAGGTGTTAGGGCCTTTTGATATGCTTCGCCAATGAAGGCACCTAACTCATAAATGGTTACGGGTTGACCTGGATGACTAACCAAGATTCCATACTCGCATTGTAAAATGTCTTAAATGGTTTAAATAAAGCTACATCAAGAGGTTGCGTCTTATGTGAAGAGTGGGGTGGTAACGTGAGAATGGCAACCCCATTTGATTTAATCATTTCTAGGGCCCCTACCGACAAGTGGGACTCGTGGTTGTCAAATATTAGAAGAGATGGATTTTCTTTAGAGGAAGAACTATGCTTTATAAAATGTTTGATGACCTCGGGAAACAACTCAGAGTTTATCCAACCACTTGGTGCTGCTAGGCCTAAAGTTCCAGGAGGCATTCCTTTAGTCATGAAATGTTTGAAATTCTTCCTAGGAAAAATTACTACTGGTGGAAGTGATTGTCCATTGGCGCAAACTATAGCGCATGTTGTAGTTAATGTCCCCTTTTCGCCACTAGTTACTTTGGAAATACATCTTATACCTTTGGGTGCAATCACTTTTTAGGGTTTTTGTACAGTCGTCGTCGCCGTTTCATCCAAGTTGTATACCCGAGTGCCATCTGCAAAACTTGAGTGTCGTTTCAAAACATTTTCAAAGTATTTTTGAACGTTCATCCGATTGAACCCTGAAGGCCTTGCTAAACTACAAGGCTCCGGAGCTCTTAGAGTCAATTCTGGATATCTTGATCGGAAAGATCTTAACCATTCAAATTCAGCAATTTTTTCTCGTTCACAAGAATTTGGTTATTTTAACTTATTGATTGATGCTGTCTCGTGAGCCAATTTCCGACAATCCATGTTCGTCAAACCATAAAAGTGATATTTAATGAGTGTTTGTTCTTGTTCTTCATTAAATATTTGGTTTACAGTATAGTTAGGGACAAATCTAACATTTTCAATATTCTCAAAATTTCTTGTTTTGGCATAATGCAGTTGGATAAGATAGTGAGTTCATTTTTGCCGCATTTCTAATGCTGTAGCCATTTCTGATAAGCTCAAGAGCAGCTTTCATTTGCTCTTTTGTAAATTTGGCTATTTTTCTTGGCTTCTTGGATCTAGCCATACTGAAAAAAAAAATCAAATAATGTACCTCCGCATTAATGTGGTACACAGTGAACCAGGTTTACTGTGTACTACACCATGCTGGTTCACTGTTGGACAAAGTTCGTTAAAAAACATAAACATAATTGATATCTATATAAAGGACTTGAAATAAAAGAATTTTGATTGATATATGATCTAAACATTATAACTTTCACTGTCAGGTATAGCCATGAACAAAAACGTACGTTAGGTTTTGCTCAGGAACAAAAAATAAGCTTTCCATTTTTTTATTTACGTACCTGTATTTCTTCGATTATCAGCACAACCTACATAAACAACTGCACGCTCCTGTCTGACTGGTCAAATGAAAGCTAACAACATACGGCTTCAAATGCCCCCTTGCGTTCATTTTTAAAACTGATACGTTCGCCATTACGACGAATGATTCACTGTGTACCGTGGTTCACTGTGGGACAGTTTACCTTACTTTATTTTAATTTGCATAAGTTGTTGTATGTCGTCCTAGTGCAGTTTACCTTCGATGTAGTTCTATAAAATGGAATGTATGGGTTGATATTTTAAGATTATTAGTACTTATCATTTTATTTTTTGAACTACTAAATGTAATGTAAAAAAATGACAAGCAAGACGAGTAGCAAACTTTTTGTAACATTTAACTATAAATTTTATTTATTTACTTTGCAAAACTTTGACTCTTTTCGTAGGTTCTGAATGGGGAAAATACTGTTGGGAATGCATTTGCAAATAATCGTTTTCTTGTTCCTGACTGATAAACGAATTTATCCTTGAAGAGCAGTTCACAAATTTTGTTCCCATATTTGCTGCCTTAAGCCACAATTCAAGTCTGAAAAATACATACAATCATTGTACTACAATGCTATGGCAAGGTTAATTCCTATTTCACCCTCAATGTTTCATACATACCTCACTGGATCTTTCACAAGAGTGAACAATCCTTCTTTGCCACCCGTACAAGTATATCCTCCTCCTCTTTGACGCGGTATTGTTTATAAACCTAATCTTAATACGTACAATAAAGTCTTAAATTAACACTCCACAATTAAAAACAGCAACAAAAACTAAAAATAAACCACTAAAAAAAAGGAAAAGTTATCAGAATATTCGCTAAAAACAACCAAAAATCCAAAACAACAAATAAAGACACGACAGGCAAAAAAATATTGATTTTCTGACAGCGACCGCAGTGACAGCTTCGTCTACTACAAGAGTGCAAGAGTGTGCCCTGTTGTACTTCGAACAAGTAATAAATCTACGATCTCTGTCTAAGTCGTTGTAAACAGGAGCCTGGTATCTTTATCTCTCGTTTTAATCGATTATGGTACTAAATCGGTTCACTTTTGTCAACCTGTACATAAAAATGTCAAAATTCTGTAATTAAAAACCATAAAAACTCAAAATTGATATAAATATAAAATGTGTAGTTTGCTGTCATACGTTCGTAGTTTCTAATTGATTGGGTGATCTAAAACGATCTGGCAACTCTGTATTCATTTTCACTATTTACTTTCTCTCCCTTGGCTTTCATGTTATTTCAAGAATAGAATAGAATAATGTTTATTTATCAAAAGCTAATAAGTACAGAAAGTAACGTAGGTACATTATGAGGTTAGAAAGTAGATTAAGTAATTTAAAAACCAAACAAGAAATAACATAAAAAACGAATTGTGTTTATATAAACTTTACATGATTCTTCATCTTTTTTTTGAACACGTTTACACTTGAACTTGCTTTAACGTCATCAGGCAGAATATTAAACTGAACTATACCCTTATGAAACAAACTTTTCATGGAACTGGTTTTGTTACTTGAATTCACATAAAAATTTATAGAATTTGCCGTTCTAGTGTTACGCCCGTGAATATTTGCAACTGGCTGACAGTTTAAGTATTTAGGAAAGCTTCCAACATTAACTGTGAACTAGTAAAACGATTACATCCCAAAATTGCCCGCATTGCCTTATTCTGAAGGATTTGTAACCCATCAAAATTAGAACACCCTGTATAAATAATAGTACTACAGTAATATAAATGAGGTAATATCAGTATATTATAGATGGTTTGTCTAGTCGATATAGATGAAAACAGTGATACCCTTCTCATAAAACCAATTTTCTTAC